CCCCCCCCCCCCCCCCCCTGATGAACTGGCGCGCCATTTGATTTGCGAAACGAAATTTCTGAAATTGACTCTCTCCCCAGCCGTACTGCAGGGATGCTGACGACAACAAGAAAACCCATCTGGTAATGCCTGACGTGATATGTGACCCTTATTTGGCCATTTTTAACTAGGCTGTTTATCGGGGTGCCTGGCCTGTCATGAACTCCGGGGAGGGTTCTGGGCATCCCCAGCGCCACACAAAAAAGAAAAACAAAAAAAAAAAAAAATCAGAAAAAAGAACTGCAATACAAACGACTTCTGGTGGGAGGGTCACGTCCAAATTCCTCACAGAATCGAAGATAAGAACGAAAACAACAATATCATAGTAAGGCACCCCCCCCCTAGAAACCCCTTTAGCCCCTTAATCCACGACTACCACCGAGGCTGATTTTCACTGTGCACCGAGTTTTGCCGAGCCAGGGCAGTTGCATCCGAAAAGGAACAAGGGAAAGAAGAAGAAGAAGAAGAAGAAGAAGAAGAAGAAGAAGAAGAAGAAAGACTTCCCCAACGCAGTGATAACCATCAGATACATTCTATGAGGTGCTAGTGTGACTGTGCCCTCAGTGAGGGCGTGTGTCCCCCATTTCTTTTTTTCAAAAGAAAAGCAAAAGAGTTAAAGAACAGGGGAAAAAATGCAATGAAAAGACAAAGAAAAGAAGCAACAGAAGACTACAGAGAACGGCGAGAAAACGGACAAGCAAAGAACAAAATAGCCACAGGATGGTCTGTGTGGCAGCTATTCCACATAGCCACAGGATAGTCTACACCACAGTGTGGTGGCTGTTCTACATAGCCATGGTATAGGATGATAGTCTACACTGTGTGGTGGCTATTCTACATAGCCACACAGTATAATCTACACTGTGTGTTGGCTATTCATGGCTCTGCTGCAACTACAGCGTGACTGCCAAAAGTCCCAGTGTGTTTTCTGGGTGCACTCACACTGTAGCCTCAGCAGAGCCATGAATAGCCGCCACACAGTGTAGATTATCCTGCGTGGCTATGTAGAATAGCCACCACACAGCGTAGACTATCCTGTGGCTAGGTAGAATAGCCACCACACAGACCATACTGTGGCTATTTTGTTTTTGTTTGTCCGTTGTCTAGCCATGAATAGCCGCCACACAGTGTAGATTATACTGTGTGGCTATGTAGAATAGCCACCGCACAGTGTAGACTATCCTGTGGCTAGGTAGAATAGCCACCACACAGAC